GGAAGGAGTTGGTCAATAGGAACATGCCCTTGGAAGGGTCTATGTGGTCCTCAGTCCCCTCCTTTCTGCCTTTTCATCCTGGTTGCCATGAGTGAGTAGCTCTGCTCTACAGCACAATGCCTGTCACACCTGCCCTGATGCTCTTCCCTTTCTTGCCACAGCCACAAAATGATGAAGTCAATTGGTCAGGGACCACAACCTCTGTAACAGAGTCACAGACACCTTTCCTCCTTTAAGCTGTGCTGTACACAACAGCCAACACGCTGTTCAGTGCAGCCTTTGGCTTACTGGAATAGGCAATAATTGGAGTGTGCTGGGGAAGATCAATGTTCCTGTTCAAGATGAGTTTCCATGGTATTCTTTGGGTACCCTTCACTCTCCCCAGGTTTGTGAAAAAGCCAGAGGATGTGAGCTAGGATTTCTTTCATTCCCTTATCTCAAACCACTCAATAGCAACAGATACTTGATGAACATCAAGCCTGGCGCCAGGTGCTAGAAGAATCAGCAATTTTGCTCACATTTATGAAAAATGAAGCGTGCCAACTGTACCACCCAAATTACCAGCATTCTCAAACTGCCTGTGACATTCCTGGCGACAGGGTCCCAGATGCTAGTGTCCCCATGGTTACTTGGGGGAGGGAGAGCTGCTGTGCTATGGGGCAGGGTAGTCAAGGAAGAGGAGACAGGCACCCATGTGCCTTAGGCCGGTAAAGCAAAGGCTTGCACTGCCTCCCAGCCATGCAGGAGCTTTATCCTTTTCCAAAATCCCCTTCCAGCCTCGAACAAAAGGGAAGCCGATTAGTCAGGCTCTCTCTAGGCAGAACTGCTCCAAGCTCCGGCTCACACATGCAGAGTGAGAGGCCTGTTCCCAATCCCTTGGTCTATAGAGGTCATTGTGAGCACAGGGAAAAAAAACTCCATCTAACCATGATCCTCTTGTTAAAAATACACTTGGTTTGAGCAGTGCTTATTCATAAGGCAAGTTTCCAGAGATGTGTCTGACCACAACCAAGAAAGGCCTCCTGCTTCTGGTGTCACAGATGCTCTTCTCTCCCCGTGCAAGCCCTTCGGCTTTGTTTTCAGGCACATCACTTAGGGACTGACACATTCAAGTGACAAGTCTAAAAGGAGAGAGTCCACACTCCAGCAGGGGCAGCAGCAGGACATCTCTGGGGAAAGATGAAGAGGTGGCAGAGGTGGAAGGGAGGCAGAAGGGTCACTTTTGATGTTAGCTTTCTTGAAAGGCCTCTGGGTGGTTGGCTTTCCTCTCAGTTCTAATATCCAAGTGCCCTAGAGAAGGCCTAGTAGAACTGTCCCCATGGGATACCTCCAGATGGGAGAGCTGGGACACTGTTGGCCACAGCTCCCTGGGACACAGAGGTGCTGATACTTCCTATTGCCAACTTGATTGGACTGAGAAGCAGCTAGCAGACAGGGAAGCAGTCTCTGGGTGTGTCTTTGGATGGCATTTCCAGATGAGATTAGCTAAGAGGGGACGGCAAGCCCCTGCTTATGGGCAGTGGCATCCCATTAACCGATATGGGTTAAAAAGAGAAGAACACTCCCCTACTAGGGCTTTGCCTCTGCTTCCTGGGCACCATGCTGGGGGCTGCAGTGCTTTGCCAAGCCCTCCCCATCACAATGGTCTGTGACTGACTCCCTAGGAGACTGGGGAATGAGGCAGGGCTGTGGCTTCAGTCCTAGAAGTCCATGATCATAGTTAAAAAAACACATTTCTTTTTCCCAGTTCAAGATGCCCTTGACTTTTGCTCTTACTGATTTTTGCTCTCCATAAAACACAGGGAGGTTCAGTCAGAATGACTTGGGCAGGGGGTGGTTCTAAGGTGGTTCTAGAGACTAAAGGATGGATAGGTGTTCCATGCAACTCTGTGGGTGGTATATATATGTACATGTAAGTATGCATTTATATAGGTGTTTGTGCATGCCTGTGCCTATGAGAATGCAAATACAAATTCATGTGTGTGTGTATGTCTTTATGAGCATGTGTGTGTATGTGTGTTTGCATGCATTGGTATATGTGCACATTTATATATGTGTATGTGTGCCTGTGTATAAGCATGTAAATGCATTATACACACACGTGTGTGTGTGTGTGTGTGTGTGTGTGTGTTTGTGTGTGTGTGCTTGTGTGTGTATCAACTTCGTGGCTGCAGTGGGTATAGGATCTAGGGGAGGAAGGGTTTGCCATGGGTCTGGAGACAACTTCCTCTGAGGACATACTTAGGGACAGGTCTTCCCATAAAACCGCTCGGAATCTCTCTCTGCATGTTCACTGGCGGACAGGAGTCTTCTCCCTTGCACATGTGCAAACAGGTAACAGGTGCCCCCAAATGCAATGAGGGAAGTCTTCCCTACACACCTTTCAGGATTGTTCTCCATAGGAGGCAGAGAGCAAAGGTCACCACGACAGACAAGACTGTCCCTGTAGAAAGCAAACCCTCTCTAGAGCTTCCCCTGGGCTGAGTGGGGATAAGCGAGACAAGGTAGAGGAGCAGCAGGAGCAAAGCTTTTCACAAAAGTCAACATCGAAAATCAATGTCCTTTCCTCTGCATCTGCCCAGCGGCCCTGAGGAACTGGCCTGCAGTGGCTATGGTCTGGATGAGGCCCGGTGAATGCCTATGTGTGGGAGGAACAGCTATCTCCCTCAATGTCACGTGTTCCCTCTTCTAAAGGACCACTAGGCCGAAGCCAATCCCTCCTGAGCAAAGGGAATTCCGGGTGTCATGGTTTCCAGAAGGGAAGGCAGTCTCCCTGTGGGGTGTAATTACATCCCTGCTTTTCGCAGAAGAATAGTTTATGGCTTAAATGCTATTAATTGTAAGCCATTCTGTTTCACGGGAAGTTGTTCATTGATAACTACCCAATTAGAGTTATTTTGCAATTAGTCTATTCACAGTAAATTTACTGCAAAGGGGAGGCCACGGTGCAGGAAATTAAAGCATCATGGGGCTGGTGTGCCATGTGTCTTAAATGCCAACTCCATTAACCAGCTTGGAGGTCCTGGGAGGGCATGCCATCTTCGCCAAGGCAGAGACAGCCAACACTGCAGGCAGCCCCAGTGAGCCCACACCAGCCTGCAGACATCTCAACACCACAGAGAAAAGCACAGGAAACTCTGATGTGTGGGAGAGGGTGATCCTGGGGTAAGTCGAAACGCAAATATCTGTACAGTGTGCATCTCTGACCAGGTGCATTTCCTGGACTGCATAATCTTTTAACTCTCAACACCAAGGCACAGAGTGGGCAAGCACCCTGTCCCAAGTATCAAAGCTTGTGCAGAGGAAAGATGAGATCCAAACATAAGCCCTCTAGCCTCACACTTAGCTTCCACATCATTGCCACAAACTCCCCTGTTTCCTCAGCTGACACCCTCCCTTTTCCCTCAGACTACACTGAGGAGAGCGGGACACAGCCCACAGGGAGCAAAGTTTCTTTGGGGCTTATACAACTCCAGCTGAAGTGAAAAATCCATTGGCTTCCTGAAGACCAACAGACTTATGTAAGGGGACTCAGACTCTGCAACCTGAATTCCAAAACCGGCTTTGCTGGCTATTAGCTGCATGCCTTCACCCAATCCTGTCTGAGCCTCAGTTTCCTCAAAAGAGGATTCATGGTGATAAAACAGAGCATTGCACATTCGACTATGGTTGATCCCTAGTGTAATGATGGATGACTTATGATCTTTTAACACCATCTTACTTCCCAAAACTTTCTTTGCAGCATTTAAGAACTTATATAGTGCAGTCAACACATTGTCTAAGTGTAAGCTTTGCTTTTTTCAGTTTTTCCCCAACTGTAGGCTGACTGAAACTTTCTGAGCACATTTAAGGTGGACCATACTGAGTTAGGACATTCCATAGGTCAGATGCATATATGCATTTCTTTGAGTTCATGGCACTTCTATCTTAAATATGATGGGATGGAAGCCTCTTGAAGGCTAGAAAGCAGTCTGAATCCACTGAAACCTTAGCAAGTGCACTGATGTTCGCCTGTTTGCTCTAAAAGCAGCCTCCAGTCACTGTGATAGACATGGACAGCCCAATGACCACACAGATCTGCTGCTTGCCCTTTCATGGAGCAAGCATGCCAGCTCTGTATGTGGCAGGAGCTCTGTATGTGTTACCTTGGCTCAGACTTCCAAAGTGCCCCCTGCCTGGCACTGGCTAAGAATGACTCTTGCATTCCTTAGTTATTATTACACACCAAGTGCCAAGTGCAATAAAGAACACAGACAGGAGCCACCTGGACCACACAGATGATGGGGAAAGGAGGATCTTTCTTTTTAAATCTGTCTATTGAACAGGAAGTGTTGCATAGATACACACTTGCTGCCTCAAGCCCAAGAAGTCATGCTGAACTTGACTAGGAGGGAGCTTGTGAAGGGCATGCTAAGCCTCTCTTTCCCACCTTCCCTTGGGACACTTGGAGTTTGGGGCTACAACCTGCCTAATAAAGTGTACAGACACAATGAGCCATGAAGGGGTCCGCAGGGCATTGGGTACCGATCCTACAATACCCACATTCAGTGGTGTCCTATCTCTTATATGAAATAGTATGAAGTTTGCTTATAGCCTGCACACCCGCCTGTATGCTTGAAATAATCTCTGGGTGACTTATAGTTTCTTATGTTATGTCATGGCTGTATAGTATTGCATAAGTAAAAAGTTGAGGTTAACAGAGACTATTTTTTTTCTGATTTCTATAGCCTGTGAATCCCAGGATGGCTAGGAACACAGTGAAACACATCTGTAGACTCTGAGATCATAGCAGGGTCAAGGTTGGACACCTCTGCTAAAGGGAACAGGTTAAAATACTAACACAAGTAAAGTGATTTTGTGAAACTTTCCCCACAGCAGACATGAGTTTAAAGTTCTCAGACAAACCACATCTTGGGATCAGGGTTTGAGACAGTGTGGTTATACTCAGAGGGCCTGAGAAAGCAGAGGGATGGGGCCAGAGTGAGGAGAAAGTGACTTACCCTCCAGGGGACAGAATCGAGTCACCTTCTCTGGCATTAGCAGTCCCAGCTTGTGGCGACAATAGGTTTCTGCAATCTCCTGACGACAGTGCTTGGACTTAGCACGGGTCAGTGCTGAGATGGCCTCTTTGCCAGAAATGTCACACTTGGGAGCCTGGTCAGACTTAGTTTCGGGAGACCCACCGCCACCACTCTTCTTGGCGTGGCTGTGTCTTGAGAGATCCTTCCCTTGGCTGCTGTTGCCTGTGGCTTTTTCCCGGGGAGGCAGCACCTCCTTGGGGCCTTTGCCCAGGACTGACTGGCCCTGTCCTTTGTCCTGAGCCTCCAGCTTCCTCTGCAAACGCTCCTTCTGCCTGCTGGGTGGCTTCTTTGCCATCTCTGGCTGGTGCTTCTGCTTCTGGGTCCTGGGGGCGAAGTTGCTGTTGTCCACGTTCTCAAAGTCCTTGGGGACTGAGTTCTCATTGTTGCTGTCAGTGCGAACTTTTTCTTTGGGCCGGTGAGAGAAGTAGCCATCCTGGGGAATCAGAGAAACAGAAAGTTGTCGCTGAGTGAGTAGGCTGGCCCTGACAGGGTGACCGGTAGGGAAACCTGAGCCAAGATGGCCATTCTTCTCTCATTGGCTCAGACTGAGGAAATACTTTTTGTTTCCCACTTTGTCCTCCCTGCCTCCCCCAAGACACTAAAGCTTTTCCGTGTTCACAGGGACCAGGAAAGTGACTGTGATTTCCAAGATCCCCTCCTGTCTGCACTGTCTGGGGAAACTTTCCCGATGAGCTTTTGTTCAAACGCCAGTAGAAGGCGCTGCAACAATCCACAGTAGAGCTGGATGGGTCAGGAGCAAATCGTAAAGGAGGTGACACGGACCAATGTGGTTTTAGGACAAGAAAATCTGTCTTGCCTATACTCGGGCCACTGTCAATTCCATCAGCAAGACAGCAAGCATGCCTTTTTTATTTTTTAAATTTGCTTTAAGTTAACTTAATTTTTATCTGCAGTGCAGCCAGTGCCAAACGAGCCTGGAAATGAGTCTCAAGAAAGACGGGAACCTATGATCTTTTACTTCCCTCGTTGCACTGGGGTCAAGTCCACGGCCTTACACATCCTGAGCAAGTGCTCTGCCATGGAGCTACATTTTTATTTACTTTTTATTCCAAAACAGGATTCTCACCAGGTGCGCCAGGCTGGCTTTGAATTTTCTCTGCAGCCAGTTCCTCTGGCTAATTGTTGAGATCAGGTGCTGGCACTGCCACCAGTCCAACATGGCTTACAATTAACTCAACCACCTCCTCGAGAGATACGCTTATCACGGGACCAGTGACTCAGGGTCCACCTCCCTGCCTCAGGTGCTACCCAGCTGCCATGGGATGGTAAAGTACTCCAGTAAGAGAGAAAGAAGGAGGATGTTTGCCTTCTGGAAAGAATTGTCCACAGATGCCTGACAGCTACTAGAAAAGTCTGTGTGAGGCACAAGGAGGGAAGATCAGGCCCTTCCGGAGGCCTGAGTCTCCCAGAGTCAATGCTGTTTTCTATAGTGACCACAATTCTGAGTCAGTATCCTCCTATATTTTTCTTTAAAAATTTTATTTTACTGTTGTGGGGCTAAAATTTCAAAAACATTGGAAAATTATGACATCTAACTAGTCAACCACCTTTAAAGATAGGATTTCACTATGAAGCCCTGGCTGGCCGGGAACTTGCTGTATGTGTATGTTCTATGTGCACATGAGTGCAGTGGCCTTGGAGGCCAGAAGAGGGCAGCAGATCCCCTGGAGCTGGAGGTGGTTATGATCTTTCCAGTATGGGTGCTGAGAGCAGGGATCTGGTTATCCGAAAGAGCAGCAAGCTCCCATTGCTGCTGAGTCATGTCTCCAGGCCCTCAGCTTTCATCCGTATTGCTGCACATTACAAGATTCTTTTCTTAGGAAAGTCTGAATAATATCACTGACTATGTATGCCATATCTACTTTACAGATTTGTTTGTCAGTATATCAAGGAATGGCCTCACCTACCCCATCCCCAGTTCTTCATGTGAACCCAAAAAGGCAAAGAAACCTCACTTTTCCCCTACTGAAATACACACATAAACACACACACACACACACACACACACACACACTGTCTCAACAAAGATTCTTGGGTAATCTCCTATCAGATCCCCAGAAGATGTCAGAGTACAGGGCCCCAGACCAGGACCATCATATTTTGTGTGCCTAAAGCTCGGGGACATAGTGAAGCAGGAAGACTAGATCTAGCTAAGGAGAAGAGACAGGACACAAAGGGCCTGAGCAACCACGATAACAGTGCAAAGTGATTCAGACCCCCTGTGCCTCAGCTTCCTCATCTGGAACACAGATATGATGATATTTACCTTTCAGGTATTTTGGTGAGGGTGAATGTGCTGGAAACTTCTGGAAGATTCTTCCCACTCAATTAAGGTAGGGGGAAGAATGAGCAATAGGCACTGACTACGTAACAACTTTACTAATTAATACAATGCCTGGGGGCTGGAGAGATGGCTCAGCAGTTAAGAGGGCTGCTGAGAAATCATGGAGACTGGCGTTCAGATCCCAACACCCACACAATTCAGGCATTCTGCACAATCTGTAACCCCGGATCCTATAGGGAGGAGACAGGAGTATTTTAGGGCTTGCTAATTTCCTGCCTAGTCAAGAAAGAATGGGTCCCAGGTTCAGGGAGAGACTCTGCCTTAAAGGAATAGACAAAGAGTGACAGAGAAAGATACTTGGCACCTTCTTTCAGATGCACTGTAAATGTAGAAGTATGGGCACCCTTGGGCACATCTTTACACACACACACACACACACACACACACACACACACACACGTACAAGCATTCTTTCACACACATGTGAACACATTTACACACAAATAAATCTTCCAAAAATATTTTGTCTTAATTTGCTCTTTCCCATCTACTGGTGGACACATTGGTTAAGACCTCTCTATTTTGAAAGACCATGTCTCTTTTATTCATAGACAACCCAACAGTCTCACCTTGGGTTATCAATGCAAACAGACCCTTTGAATTGTTTTTATTTTAATGTACTTATTATAATGATTGTTCATTCAAACATTTGCACCCATCTCAGAACTTCTAATTGCTCCCGCCTTGCCTTCCCTCAAAGCTGCTGCTAGAATCCATTTTTTATTCCAGAAGAATAATTAAATGTACTACTGTCTTCCACCCCCCATTCAACCTTGAGCTTGTTTTAGAGGCTGTTTTGATCAGGTAGAAAGACGTGGCTCTCAGAGGCAGTTATATGATCCGGGATACCCCTACACATACACACACACACACACACACACACACACACACACACACACGAATACAGACATACACACACACACACACACACACACACACCTTTTCCTACCTTTCTTTCAGTCTCTAATAATCAGACTTCTCTCCGGTCAACTGAATCCCAGCCCCTAGATCCTGTTTTCCAGAGTCGAAGGTGGTAGCTGTGGCTCCCCTCTCCCTTGTGCACTCGAGGATTACAGTCTTCGCTTTCATTGCTTGTGTGGAATGAGCACTGGGTAGGGAGGGGAACAGACTTGTCTTGCTTTAGTGACTGTATAATTTTCTCATCTGTGTTAAGATGGGTCCCACATGAGTTCTAGTAAACACTGTCTGAGTTGGTTGTTAATCAATATGATTGACTAGTAAATTTTGTTTTTTCCATCTCATTGAACAGTACTGATAAAGTTTAGGAGACCAAGGATAAATGCTCTGAAGGATACTGGTACCATCCCAGACACAGCCCAGATCACTGCCTCTAACAGGGTGTTGGTATTAGAGGTCAAAGGTCAAGCAGAAGGGAGTCCATTCCTCCCACTTCCATCTTCAGCTCTTCAAGCAGATATTTTACATCTTTTACATCTCTCTGTACAAGATGAACAGCTCTGTCCAACATCCACATCCACATGATGTCAGGCACAGTGTAACACATACACAGTAGCACACCCATGGTCACACTGTGACACACACACAAACACACACACACGTAAATAAATAATGCACCGTTGCAATGCTAACCTAATACGGTTCTCTGCGCATGTGCTGGGACCTCTCCTGAGGCCCCTGAGACCTGTGCTGGGATTATCAAGAACAAACTGCTTCCCTCATAATGTGGGGACGTTATCTCCTTCCGGTTCATTCCCTCACCAGTGCACAGAGGACTTTTCCAGAAACTTCGTGACAAGTGACATTACAATGCGCAGCAAACAGGAGCAGATGTAACCCAGCTGCCTTCTGATTGTGGTTTCTGAGATATATGTGAAGGGTTCATTATGTAGCCCAAGATGGCCTGGAACTCACAATCCAGAAGGCTCCTCCCTTTTTGTCTGCTCCTTGTGGTGTGAAGTTGCATCTTTGGCCTAAGATTTCATTTATATGGAAGAGTAATGAGCTTGAGTATTGTTTTAAGTGAACCAACGAGCAAGTAGTTAGGAAATGGCTCAGTTTAAACATCCGTCATCCATAAGTGATAGGTATGAGAAAAAGCTGTCGGAAGGTCTTCTGGAACATCGGAAGGCTTGAGGAGGTCCTGGGAACAGCTGTGAGATAGTTGACATTTCACAAAGGTGTATCTGCCTACTCGAGGCCTGATCATCCTGCTTCCTTCCAAAAGGACTAATAATCATCTCTGTACACATTCGCTGTGCTCATCCCTGTGAGAGCCTTTCACCTAATGCAATGATCACCTCTGATGAACTCTGTCATGGCCGGCATCTGGCTCTGCCTGGATTGTAGCCCTGGGGAGCTATTCCTTGAGGCCGAAAGCTGCAAAGCCCAGAGTATGTGCTGGCTCAGAGCCTTTGTGTGCTCCCTCTCCCCAATCCTACCAAGGCTCAGGGGAACATGTACCCCATATTTTCTAGCTCTTTTCATGTTACAGACACAACAGCAATGCACATGCAATCAAAAAGGAAAGCGAAGGCAGAGTAGAGGGAGAAATCCAAGGGACAGAGTACTGGGAAGCTCCAAATACAAGCTGTGTCTTGCTCCCCTGGGCACCCTACATCTCTTCCCTGCCATCCTTCCCTTCCTTTTCTTAGAGTCTCACTATTTGCACAGGCCTGCATCCAACTCACCATGCTCCTACCTCAGCCTCCACAGTACTGGGATGACAAGTATGTGACAATATGCCTAGATCCTGGAACACTTTGTTTAAAAGGTAAACTACAGGAGGCTTGGGGAGAAGGCAGGTCAAATACTTGCCAGGCAACATGATGAGGACCTCTTTCTGATCCCCAGTACCCACTGAAAAAGCCAGGTGTGATGGTGCCTGTCTATACTCCCCCTGTGTGGGTGAGCTGGAGTTAGGCAGATCCCTGGAGCTCACTGACTAGTGAGTCCAGCCAGATCCATGTGCTTCAGGTTCACTGAGAAACCATGCAGCAAAAAATGAGGAAGGATGGGACATTGTACATGGACACTGTCATTCTACACATGCACACACCCATGAATCTAATGTGTAACACCAGCTCAAG